CTTGATAGGAATGTGGTAGATTCATCAACAACAGGCATTCTCATATGTTCCGTAATTTCCAATAAAATAGGAGTTTTATATTTAGTATCTGTGTTAATTCCTTGAAAAAAAGTATTTATATCTTCCAGACAGAAGATCGAACTAAGTGGGTCATCCTTTGCCTCTCTACCAGTGATAGTGTTTACTGTCTTCCACCACTGCTTAGTAGTGGATCCATGCTTCTCATTTTTGCTTTTGACGGAGTTGATCTGATTTTCAATAATTATGAGTTCACTTACCCTTGGCAGAAGTGAGTTTGCTTCAACAATCATACCTTTCTGGGAAAAACCTTCGTCTTTTCTTTAACAGATACTTTACAAGAGGTGTAATAAATACAGGATCATTCGATGACATCTTAACCCTTTTCATGGGGAAACAGATTTCAATCGCAGGGCATAATGCAGATTAAAAATGAGAAATTGCATTGTTTAAGTCTCTTATAAATAGCTCACTCCTCCAGTCAATTCCTTTCAGGAACTCAATCATTGCTAGTTTGCAGTGTGATCGAGTATCCCGAAATTCAACCCATTTTCTTGCATGTGGCTTTGGTCTTTATTTTGGGATGAACCACCACAAACTTGTGATCAGTGTTAATCAGGCTATTTATGCATCTTACAGATCCAAAGTCTAGTGGTGCATTAGTTAGCAAAACATCCAGAATTTTGATGCCACTAGTTGGTTTCTTGAAGAGTTGAGAATAGGAAAACTGATGAATTAATGGTTGTAGATTAGTTGATTAACATCGCCAGCTAGCATGAACTTACAATTTGGATTTTCCGACAAGAGAAATTCAAGTACATCAGCAAGACATTCGATTTAAGTCGTCCGGGTTGCAAACTTGATCTGGTGGATGATAAAGTACAGCAGCATAAAACAGTTGATTCTTTGAAGGGCATATCTCAACCCACAGGCATTCAAAGTCTCTACCATCATTGAAAGGTTCAAGCACTTTTATTTTCCAATCATTCCTACTTACGATARCAACTCCACCTCCAATCCTTTCTTTTCTGTCTTTAGTTATAAGATTAAAACCACGTGGAGAGACCAGGTTCTTGTCAAAACGGTCATGTAGCACGTCTCGGACATAAAACAAAGATCTATTTGGTGACTGGATAGATCTCCTTGAAGAGCTTGAACAGCTCCAGTTTCATTGTCTCCTTCGGTGTCATTGCCTTTAGTTAATATTATTGGCTTTCTTTTCTGGCCGAAAGCCGAAAAGTTTGTTTCGTGTGCCTTTTACGAGCCTTGAAAGTAAACTACTTCTAGAAAGGGGTAAACTGCTTCTATCTAAGTTCTAATTCCTATAAAGTTCTTATACAAGACACAAGTATCCAGGTATAAGCTTCGACGTATAACAGCTGACAGTAAATAATGAAGGCTCATGATATAGGGAATTAGGGGTAATGCCTATCAAACCCTTGAGTGTAGTATTACTCTTATAACTAGAATAAAGCTGCGACTGAAGTAGTAGGGAGGTAGGTGTTTGAACAAAAATCTCTGTACAATCTAAAATGACACATGTGCTTGCATAAAGCTTTTTAAAACCTTCTGGCATAAACCTATCAACATCTTGCCTTGAAGGCCAGATCACTTGACTACCAAGAAGAAAATACAAAAAATTAGTCCATGTGATCAATTTCCTGCAAACTGACGATTTATGTATTCGGAACCTATGAGCTAAATCCTGTCCGAATAGACCTTGTTTGAGGCGTACACAAAACATAAACAATTCATCCACAAGAAGCATATTTCTTGAGTCTGGTCTACTTTCTCTTTCTCCAGAGGCATAACAATATGTCATTTGTGCAGCACATGGCTGCAAAAACTTAAAAAAGAACTGAATATGTAAATAGGATGGGAAA